GAAACCCATTTGCATTTACTCCCATCAGCTCCAGTATGGCTTATCATGATGCCAGCATTATATCAAGTAGCCCCGTGAAGCCAATGCAGCGGCCCATGGCTACCCATCCTGACAAAACCAAGCTTGAGTGGATGAATAATGGCTACAGCAGTGTTAGCAATTCGTCAGTTGCAAACCATGGCATCCTTACAAGCTATCAGGAGCTGGTGGATGACCGCTTCAGGAAACCTCACGCTTTTGCTGTTCCTGGCCAGTCGTACCAGTCTCAGCCGCGCCACCATGATACTCACTTTGGTCGCGTGACTCCTGTCTCACCTGTGCAGCACCAGGCAGCCCCTGTCAGTAGCACCACCAAGCAAGAGGGCTTTGCTGTTCCTGCTCCTTTGGACAACAAAGGAACCGGTTCCTCTCTCAACAACAGTCTGAGGTGCCGGAGCGTGAGCCCTGCTGTCCATCGCCAGCGTAATCTCAGCGGAAGCACTGTTTACCCTGTTTCAAACATACCACGCTCTAACCTGACACCTTTTGGAAGTCCAGTGACCCCTGAAGTTCACAATGTATTTGCTAATATCCACGCAGACACCAGTGCCAATAACATAGCGCAAAGAAGCCAGTCAGTCCCATTGACTGTGATGATGCAGACGGCCTTCCCGTCTCTTCAGAAACAAACAAACACTAAAAAAATAACCAATGTGTTGTTAAACAAACTTGATTCTGATAGCGATGATGCAGTGAGAGGTTTGGGAGTGAACAACATGCCCTCAAATTACACAGCCAGGATGAATCTCACTCAGATTTTAGAGACATCCACAGCTTTTCCTAGTGCCAACCCACAAAATATGATCAATTCCAGCACTTCAGTTTATGAATTCCAAACACCAAATTACCTCACAAAAAACAGCAGCACCGATCAGATCAGTTTTTCTTCTGGAGATAACCAAGCACAATCAGACATCGGAGAGCAGCAGTTAGATTTTAGCAGCACTGTAAAAGACCTTTTAGGGGAGGACAGTCTGCCAACAAACCAGCAGCTGGTGAATCAGGTGGCATCAGATCTCAATAACGTTGCATCTGTCTTTTCCAGCGACATCAGGTTGTCTTCCGAGCTCTCAGGCAGCATTAACGATCTGAACACTTTAGACACAAATCTACTGTTTGATCCAGGTCGTCAGCAGGGACAAGACGATGATGCTACACTGGAGGAATTAAAAAATGACCCCTTGTTTCAACAAATCTGCAATGAATCCATTAACTCAATGACTACGTCAGGTTTTGAATGGATGGAGAGTAAGGATCATCCTGCTGTTGAAATGTTGGGTTAATCTTGTTTTATAATATGTATGTAGCACACTGTATCTAAAAGACAGACGTATTGTATTTGTCTTAATGGAAGTGCCTCCTGCAGCAGAAACACTTGCTATGTATTGTGGCATTTTTAAAAAAGTTTGCTGTACCCGTTGCTCATTCTTCAGCAGGGAAAAGGCAGTCTTACCAATTTTAAACCATTCTCTGAAGGTGATGGGCTATCGAAGAGCCAGTATTAAAATTTTAATTTTAGTGTTTCCCATTCAACATTTCTTATTGTAGCAAATAAAGAAGCAGTTTATAGCCAGCCAGCAGCGACGGCGATGGTTGAGGCTTTGGGGGGGTTTTAAGTTGAGCTTGTTAGTAGGCTTTCTATACTTCATATTGCTTGTTACTTCTCAGTAGATGATCCTTACTGACCTTTGTTGTTCAGGCCTGAAGTGCAGGGTGCCTGCAGAGAGGTAGGTGGTGGGGAGTAGGTACAAGACAACCAGGTGACGAGCAGGTGCCTGGCCACAGCGTAGCTGTCTTGAGCACTGCTCAGTGGTGAACTCTGTAGCACTGGTGCCACTGACATTTCTAGTAAAACGCAGAGATAGGAAAAACTAACAGGAATGATCAAGGAAAAAGAAAGATGCACTAAATTTTTTATGTAAGAGAAATAAATCTATGTAGTTATTTTATCCATTAATATTCATGACATACTTGATATTTTAGTTTTCACTTCAGTGCTTTTATATTAGGTAAAATTCATGCAAAAAGATTTTGAGCACTGAGATTTAATCTAGGTATTACACCCTATTTTAAAGTGATAGGTACTGTTTAATTATTTATCAATGCTAGAGAAGGAACGTGATATTTCCCCTCTTTTTTTTTTTTAATAAAAGAGCTGCTGGAGCTCATTAAACTACTATTTTTAAAGACTCATTTTTTTAAGTTTGCTCTTTCCTAACCTAGTGGAGGGTGTAGGAAGATGTTATTTTCTCTGTATCTCAGTAGGTTGAGCCTTTCTGTCTTTCTTGCTCGCTCTCTTTATCTCAAACAAAAGATGATTAAAATAGTAGAAAATGTGGTCGATCTAAAAATATTTCTTATAGAGCCATAATACTGCCAGGCACTTTACAGATACACAGTAAGACATGTGATCTTTCTTTTGGTAAAGCTTCTTTTAAAAGTACTTGCTGTTTTAGAAGCCTGAGTTCCATTTTCCTAAAGTGATTTGACAGGACTGGTGAATCTAATTTTTTTTTTTTTAGAAGTCCTTAGTTGCCCCTCTGGAAAATGAGATTTAGAATTCTTCCTTACTAGTTCACTTGAACCAAAAAAGACCTCTTGTTTTATCAGCATGGCACAGGTCTCTTTGGTGAAAAGAGAGAGGTACTTAGCTGGCCGTGGCCCTGATAAGGACTTGGAGAGGCTATCTTTTACAAAAGAAGTGGTGCGCTGAGGATGCCACAATACCATCCCTTAAGCTTAGTATAAAATTGATTTTTTCTCCTGTGAATTGACACTTAGAAAACAGAAGACAGAGCGGAAAATGTTTTCTTTTCTTGCATTACTTCTTTGAGCGGTCATGAATTTATGAAGGAGGAGGCACAAAAAGCCCCCCTAGATTTAGTTAAGGGGAAGATGCTCCGATTTTTCAGGTGACTAGTGTTTTTTTTTGTTGAAATGTCTTGGCAGTCTTCTGTTCCTTCAGTTTTTGCTAATGACTTGAGATCCCAGTACTGGTCAGGTTTTTTTGGTGGTGCTGATTCAACTCGTGCTGCTGCATTGGCACTCGAGGTGCTGGTGTACCACGGCTTCTCTTGCTCTTGCCCCAGTTCATCACCAGTCCGTGGCCTCTTCTGCAAGGACAAACAGTTGTGCCAAGCTATAGCACCTTATAGGGGCCTGATTTCACTGTGCCTGCATCAGAAGTTTTGCCACTTTGCCAGGAACAAAATTGGAGAGCTTGGATCCCTCCTTGAAGCGCAAGGATATGTGATGTGTGGTTTGCTTCATTTAAAACCAAGTTACCCTTTTAAGTTTTGTTAAAGAAATGGGCAAGAGACTGAAAACTGCATGGTAGCCTTCTGCTTGTTACCTTGCCAGGTGTCTGTCAGTAAGGCTTGAACCATTCTTCTTGTAGACTAAAGTTGTTGAAGGCAAGGGCTTGAGTTCTGTACCTGCCTGTGGCATTTTGCCAGAGATGTGTCAAGCATCCTCTTACCTTATTGACTGCATGGGGTCTGAGAGACGCTCAGCGCCTTCTTTTTGGTTTTTTTTGCTCCCGACCCTGTAAGAACTGCCGGCACTACTGCGAATAGGTGAAACCCACCTTCCAATGGGGAGTGATGGGGGAGGACGCGAGCGCCGGTGCTGCAGGGAGCAGCCGCGCACGTGCTGCAGCAGCCCCTGCCGTGTGCGTGATGTGCTGGCCTCGCCTCCAGGTCGCCAACTCCAAGATTGACGTGGGCTTGGGGGAAATAAATGTTTGCCTAACTCCACTAGTTTTTTTTAAGAACATTTCTCAGAAAAGCAAGAGTAGATTTAAAGCTGATGCATTCTAAATTATGCAGCCGTCACCAAAGGTTTTTAAAAGTGCGTTTAAAATTATTTTTAAATACAAGCATTACATTGGGCCTAATGTGACTTAATTAGCAGAAATATTCTATAATCAGTGGATTTAAAGCAAATATATGTTTAATTTAAGAGGTGTTAAATTCAATAAGGATTGTTTCAAGTAAAATCCAAGACACAGGCACAGCTTTGTACATTGGTATGTATTATTTTAGAGGTGTTTGTGTGTTGGTGTTACAATTAATAATGTTAGGTCCCTCTACTTAGTGCTAGTTACTACTTTACTATACATCAAGACAGAGCACTACTGCACACCAAAGTATGCAATACCCAAAGGAAAATTCTGTGATTCTAACAAATGGAAGCCTGTCTGTGTCAGATACTCCAAAATTTAAGAATTTGAGACAGTTCTGACCCCTTGTTTACATTATTGGCTTCCTAGTAACATGAGAAATAAATTATTTTGATAGCAGTTTTTGCTAAAGTATACAAACTAGTGAATTTGTACCCTGTGTACAGTATTGCAGCAAACACTTTAAATTTGGTTGGTTGGTTAGTCCAGCAAACTTTCTGGGTTCATATATTGCACTAAAATTCTGTTGAACCTGTGGCAGGCACGTTCCTTAGGATAAATGCAACAAATACGGCCCACAGATTAAAAAAAAAAAAGGCAAAACAAAAAAAAAAAACCTTTTTAATGTGTTTCATTATTAAAAGGCAAAATGTCATTAAAAGTGACAGGTGAAATTGTCTTATGTAGCAATGTGCATTGATCTCAATGAGATATTTCTATTTCTTATTCTCTTACATGAGAATATTACAGCAGGAAAAATTAAGTTTAGTTTGCTTCACCATGTTAATACATGATCACAAAACGTGCATGAGTGTTAATGACTTAATCTTGTACAGTACTAGATATATTCCTGTAACCACTTTTATTTTTTTTATTCTTTTGCTGTATTGAAACTGGTTCAGTGTTAACCAGGTGAGCATAGTTATTCACAAGTTATTTACTTTTTTATGTTAACTAATTCAGCTTAGTTATTGTTGAATATGTTCCTTTCTTGGATTATTTTTTATTGTTCTGGTGTTGAAAAACATTTTTGCATCTTTTTATCATGATAAGAATTCATGAAGTAAATAATTTGCAAATAATTGCAATAAGCACTGACTTCTGAACTGAAAAGAAGGAAAGCGTTTCTTGTGCAGTGCATCTGAGTTTCATATAATAGTCTTGTACTATACTGTGCTTTACTTACTGCACCATAAGGAAAGAAAAATCCCTGTTCCACGTTTTCATTTAGTGCAGGAAATCCAGTTCCTCCCCTCTTCCCCCGTGTTTTGTTGTCTGTTGTACTGCTGAAACTACAGTAGTTGAATATTGCAGTAGCATTTCAGTTATTTTTTTTATTGAAAGTGCTCAAAAATTGTTTTTTAAATGTTTTCAAAAACAATAAAAACATTTTATATTAAAATGACTTCTGGAGTTTTTTCTTTATATGGAAGCTGTGCGTTAAGGTTGACCTGAAATACAGAGCTTTCTAGTTTGTGCCAAGGCAGACCATCGCTGCCCAGCTCTACCGACCGGCTGCAGGTGCTGAGCCCAGTCATACGCGTGAAGTTGACCATTTGCTTTATATTGCATTTCTGCAGGTATCCCTTTGAAGTGGAAGGTACTGCGTGCTGATACATTTGGGGGATAAGAGCAGCTGCTGCTTACTGTTGAACCTGATAGTTCAAATTTACCATCAAATGTTAAAATAACGTTTTGGCTGAGGCCATGCTTCAGAACATGGTGGTGATAGTTGTGCTGGTTGGAGTTGTTGTCACATGCAGCTCTGTGCTGAGTTCATCCTGGTGTGGGTGCTGGGCAGCGGCTCTTGCTGTTGTGGCATACAACATCCCATTGCTGCTACAGCCATCCCTGGTGGTGGTGCTTGGCTGGTTTTGCTTTTTGACATTAGTAAAGCACTTGTACAAGGTAGTGTTATGGTGCAGGTTGGCTTGCTGCCATAAAAGGGCAAATACGCCGTTTTGATCTATGGAGTCCTTTACTTGGGTTGTTAAATCGCATGTAAACCCAGCAGTGTTCCTAGAACAGCCTATGTGAACACGATGCAAAAGTATTGCCACAGAGCAGAAACTGGCTATGAGAAAATGAGGGTGAGGATAAATACTCAGTTTTTCATGCCAAAAAGATGGCACTGGTGAGAAGTTAGACTCCATCCCAGGCTACAGAGGTGCTGAGATGAGCTGGCAGGTGGCAGATTTGATGGTGGCACAAAATCACTTCAGGTTCATCAACAAAGAATCATCATCAGGGAGACATAAATGAGGCAGCATGAATGAAAGAGCATCAGAAAGACAGATTAATTTTAAGAGGACATTGGAGGGTACACTATTAATGTATCTCCCTGGATTCTAAATTAACATGCTCTAAAAAGAGTTCTCAAGAAACAATTCATGGACATGCTTTCTCAGTGTTCCACAGTCATAAAAAATGCAAATGAAAAAAAATTCCAAAGGAAGGAGATGCAATATAATGTAGGAGTTATAAAATGCTATTTTAGAAATTGATAGTTCATCTGAAGTACATAATGGGTTTTAACTGGAACCTCTCAGCTGTAGCCTTAATGGTAAATAAAAAGGGTCATAAGAGCAAAGAAATCTGTGACACTGAATGGAAGTGGCCTAACAGGAAAGATTTAAGAAGGTAGAAATGTTGGAACTAAATGCATGATCAAAATAACTACCTCAAAATGTTGAAGTCATGGGCTTTGTAGGTTTCAAAAAGACTAGATGTTTCTATGTTTAATAAAGACATCCAGAGTAAATTCTAAACAATTCTTTAGAAATATTTTTACTTTTCCAGAAATATAAATCTGCATGAGAGAGTGCAGCTGATATTCTGGTAAGCAGAATTCCCCCTCTAGGGTCATAAGGATTGCTGTGGTGAATTAGCTTGTGGTTCATGTAGTCTGTACAGTGTTTCAGGCAATTGATATCACCATCTTCTCCAGAGAAAGATGACCTGAGTTATTAGGTAGTCACAGAATAAACTGCCCCTGTGAAAGCTGCTCTCATACCCAAGAGCCAGAAGCTCAGTCTGAACCCAATACATTAGAGCTGGGGGGGGACGGCGCTTCCTTCCAACCTCACTTTGTCTGCATGTGCGTCAAGGCTGGAGGGCTGAGTAAGCCTAACTGGATCTGGCTGCCTAGCATGGCTGCTCTACAGTCAGGTGAAGTTTGAGCATGATATTTGATGATTGTCAAATTCATTTGACAGCAAACTCTTAATTGTCTAGGCCCCCTCTGATGCGTAAGTAAGAGATAACCAATACTTGGATCTTACTGCCTTCCTCCCCCTCTTATAAGTGGCATGAGTTAAGCTTGGATAAGGAGAGGAAATACAAGAAAAATGTGTAGCGAGGCTTACAAATTGTGGAATAACTGGAACGCAATTCCGGTGACCTGACTGTGCACTTAAGATGTTTCTGAATAATGCTTATAAGGGAGTGCAATAAAACTTGCAAAGTTTGTCATTCACATAAAACTTTTAATCTGCGTAGTTTCTAATAGTTACCTATAGTCATCCAGAGCAAAAGACTATTACACATCAAGCAGTTAGCTATCCACATAACAGTTAATAATTAACCTGAATATGCCCAGGCCTGTGCTGCTGTCCTTTTCCTGTGTTGTGCTGTGCTTATCCTCTGGCTGCAGGGTGAACTTGCAGGTAACCATCGGGGGGAGCCTGCAGGCAGCTCCCACTCCCTGCTGGCAATTACGCCACCTGTGTGTCCTTGCCTTTATCTAAAAGTGCAGCAAGACATTCTCATGAGAATGTCCTTTCTGCTTGACAGTAGAAATGATGAACAGAGTTATAAGAAAATCCCGTAACAGCTCAAATGAGCAAAATGGGGTGACCCTTCCATGGGCAGGATCTGTGTGTGGATCAGAGGCCCATTCAGTGCCACATAGCTTGGAGACCTGAAGGGATGCAAGACTATCTACTGTCCTCTCTTCCTGTATAGTGCTAGCTCTAGCAAATGGCATTTTAAGCAATGCTTCACAGCATTTGAGCACCTTTCTTACTGCTGTCACAACAAACCAGCACCTCCTAGTGCATAATTAACATTACCGATTGAAACTGCAAATCATAGAATGGTTTGGGTTGGAAGGGACCTTAAAGATCATCTAGTTCCAGTCTTCTAGTCTCTTTTGCTTTTCCTGCTCAACTTGTTAAAAAAAAGAAAAAGAGTGAAATATGAACTAAGCAAGGCCAGATTAGTTAAGTCACAAATGAACAGAGGACATGGAGAAATTTGCTTATAAAACATAACAGTGCTGAAAAGGCGGCAGTTTCATTCTGCAGATTGCAGTGTTTAAATACCCAAAATAGAAGACCACCTTGATATAATGCAGAATATATAACCAAGAGATTTTAGTTCCTGGCAGATCGTAACATTTCTGCTGTGTGCTTTGAATATGTAGGAGATACCCTACTAGTGTTGTAAATACTCGAGATGTGTTGCCTTGGAACATTTGCATACCTGTTCTCCAATGGCTTTGTCGTGGCTCCTCCTGAGTCTGTTCTTCCTGGGCCTGCCTACCCATTTTCTATATCTGGTAATGGCTCAGCTCTGCAATCGTTAAAAAGGTCCAATTTTGTCCCTGTGGCTCATCTTTCCTCTGTTGTCAGCTTCCTTTTAATAAACTGGATACAGATAATATATGGATTATGATAAGTCATGTATTATTGGAACTTTGCCTAGCCACACTACCTAATTAGATGATGCCCATTAGAATCAAATTTTCAGTAGATCTCAAGATGCTGTTTCAAATAATGTTCAAATAATGTCAGCAGTATGCTACTGATCTGGAGCATACCCTGTTGCATATGTGGGGGTTTTTTTGGTATGAACGTTAAAATTGTACTTGCAAAACTGGCCAAAGGACGGAAATGAGTCTCAGGAGCTTGTGAGAAGGCTCCATTTTAACCTACCTATGCATACAAGTAGCCACTTTTGGTAAAACTGTTTTCAGAGTAGTATAGAAATTATACCAAATAATCTAAACTTGTTTTTAAATCCTTCCTGTATCTTAAAGGTAGGAAAAAGGAGGCACATAGGAAGCTGAAAATACATCTCCATTTATTCAGGAGACTATAGCCTTATGTCCAGTTACTAACTTGGTGCTAGTGGATTTTTGTGAAGACTAAATTGAACAGAGTGCTACCTGGCTGCTGCTGGGGCTGAGTCCCTCTGTAGCTGCAGGTCTTCTGAGCACTGTGTGGAGGAGGGTGGCTGGTAGGAATCAAGAGAAGTGACCGTCCCTCTGGCCTTCCTCGGGTAGCTGTCCTATCCATCGCTACAATTCTGCGCCTCTCAACGTGCTTACTTGAGAGAGCTGTTGGGCTCCCTCTTCTCAAATATACTTCTTTGTTTTTTAGCATGGATGGGAAAACACAGCTGTATAACTGTATTACATTATAAACTAACTGATTAGGACTCACTCATCTCCTTTCTCTGTCAAAAATACCCTTGAGTGTTCAATTTGCCTGCTCCATATCAGTACTTCAACAGGACACTTGTTCCAAGGGCTGTGATAAGCAGTTCCCAGAGAGATCAAGCCCAAATCCTCCTTGCTCGGAGACAAAAAGAGGCA